AATGTATAACAGTGATTTTTTATATTCTATGGAATATTAATGTTTTGTGAAATTATGAAATTCGTGTATTAATTAGAATATATGATGATGATTTTAGTGTTCCGTAAATTTTTCTTGCAATCTAGTGTTTCGTGATTTTGAAAAGATTAGGAATCACTAATGCGTAATATTTTTGTTATAAATAACTCTTAATAAGTTTGAATTTGTTTATTTTAATTATTTTATTATTAATTCCTTATTATTGCATCAAAAAACTTATTAATATTGTCAATTTATATAACATTTTGTGTTTTATAAAATTTTAATAATATTTTACAATATTTTACATATTTATATATGTATTAATTCAATATAATATTAAAGAGCGATAAATGAATACGAAATGATTAAGAATAATACTACAAAAAAACTATAATATTTCAAAAAATTCGACCCAAATACAAGAGAGAAACTTTCTTTTAGTTACGAGAGAGATTGTAAATCAAGCAACGAAGAATATCGTCCATGTTTGATTCTCCAGAGAATTCTTTCGCCAGTAGTTTCTGCAAGGGACGAAGTTAAAATCCGAAGGATCTTTAGAACCAAGGGTCGATGTGGCTTGAGAAGAGAGCCGGAGTGAAGTAAGGGTTTGGATGACGAGATCGTGGACGCCGGATTGTGGATTCCCGAGGGGACTCGACGGAAGAGAAGAACGGTTACTCGTTCGTTCATCTGTGTCCCTTTTCTTTCTTGCTTTGTGCTTTGTGTACGCATACAACCTCACTGTTACGAATAACGTAAAGCGCGAGTGATAAAAGAATTGTAACGAAAGGGATGAGGAAAAGCGAGAGATGTGTTTCAAAGTGTATGTATGTATGTATATATGTAAAAGTGTATATGGGATAAAGAAAAAGAGATGATAAAAATGGAAAGAGAAAAGAAGACAATAAGATGCAGCAATGTAGCGGGTGACGATTACGGCTAACCTAGACTATCTTCTATCTTGAGTCTAGACTAGAATGCTGGAATATATTCAAATGCTTTAACTCTACACTATTTCGATTTCTAAAGTAACTTGTGTTCCAAAAAAAAAATTCTTTTTGCTCCAAATTATATTTATATTTGCATTGCAATAAGAAAAAGAATTTACTATATAAAATGAATTATCAGTAGTATTTTTTTTGAATTCAAAAATCAAAAAAAGTTTTTTTTTCTTTATGATATTTCACAAGACTATTATCTTTTAATAATCAATTAACACAAAATCACTTATGATCTGATGAATGATTTATAGATATGTTAGTACATATCTATAAATAATTAAAAATAATTTTTTTACCAAAAGTTTATATTTGATATTGAAACAGTTTTTTAAAATTTAAAAAGTATATTTTAAGTAATTATTTAAGTATATTATAAGTAATTCTTTAATGATTGATCATCCAAGGATTAATGCAATGTGTAAAAATATATATAATATGCATATAAAGTAATATTATATATATGTAATGTAAAAAAAGTATAATTACAACATTGATATAGAGACAGATATAAGATATAATATTAGATTTCGTGGTAAAAGTTTAACGTCTGTCTAAAGTTGGTGTGCATCTCCAACATCGTTGATATGTGTTGGACGGTAGGGAGAGAGTGGTAGGTAAATCGGTCGGGGGTTGCTAGACTGGCGGTGGCGGTAACGCGATAAACGGATTAACGGCGAACTCGAACGGAGGTCGCAGTTTAGTAGTTGGGCATCGCAGCTCGAGGGATCAGCCTTCTGTCAGGAGACGTTCTAGTGTGAATGAGCGATTACAAAAATGATTAAAGAAAATAGAATAAATTACGATTATGACAATGAAAATTGTATTGCAATATACACTTTATTTAAATACCAATATATTGCAATATTAACATAACGAATATATAATGTTTCATATATCTAAATTCATATATCTAAGATTGACGATAAATTAACTGAAATTTTACCATGCTCCATGCTCTTATATCACGCATCACGTTTGAAGAATTTATAGAGTATCGAGCATGATTATGAGGTTAATCATAGAATGCAATAAAAAATAGGTATGACAAATTATTAAATTAATTCAATTAAAATAACAGAAATTTTAAATGTACTTTTTTCCAATCATTATTGAAATCATTATTAAATATAGATCATCGAATCAAATCGGATATTTTTTTCTTTCGCTTTTTTCATATTTTTCGGACGTATCGAAGAAAAGTGTAAATACAGGCGGGAGGGATAGTTATGCCGAGCTGAACCAAGACGGGTTGACGCGGTATCACGTCGAGCCACGCCACGATCGCTCCTGTTGAGCTGAAACGACGTCGGGTCCCGCTAATGAGGACGTCCTTTCTTGCATACCGGATAACGTTTCGCCGCCGGGCGACGCCGGGCGTCTCGAATTTCTCGTGTACGCCTCTTCTTCGTTTCGCTTGGCTCCTTCTCTTCTTCTAGGAACGATCAATGCTGAAGCCACCGGGCAAACTCGCTCTTTCCCTCTCCTATCTTCGTCACACTATCGTCTCTCCCTTCTCTTTCTCTATCCTGCACCTTATCGCGAAAAGTACGTGGCACGTTGAGTTTGCTGTCGATCGATCGAGTTGTGCTCGATGGAGACGACAGTTCCAAAGAGCGATGACGGAAACCTCGAAAGAATCTTTCGAAAAACTATATAAAGTAACGATAAGATTTTTTATATATATTTCCTTTTAATTGTTCATTGAATCCGTATGAAACGTTTTCTACTTTTCAAAATTTGAAAATGATCAATTAATTGCTAGCTGTTGAATTATTACCATTATATATATGTGTATATATTAGTGTTAACAAAATTTTTAAAAACTATTGAATATTTGAATTGTCATAAATAATTAAAATATTCTTTTGTTTTTTTTTATATGAATTAAAATGAATTCATCAGAAATCAGAAAATTCTTATAAATATCAAATATAAATATCAAAATAGATAAAAAATTTGTATATTTAGAATCGTGTGAAAATTGTATATTTTATTTTAATATACAATTATATATAATTGTTTATTATTAATATACAATTATATATAATTGTATATTATATAATATTATATGATTTTATAATGAATATATGATTTTTTTGAGAAAATATTTTCTATGTCAAAAATGACAATTGTACAATTTTATTACAATTTAATTTAATGTACACAATTTCATAATATTGTCAATAATTATGTAACATTGTATGATAATGAAATATTTCATTAAAGAAAATTTAAATCTATTGCACATATATCATACTATTTTTATTTTTTTTTTAAACAAAAATTAATAAGAGTTATTTCTTTTGTAAATACAACATATGTGTCTATATAAAAATAAAAATATACAAGAAAAAGAAAAATAAGATAATAGAAACAAAAAAATGATAAAAAAATGAGTTAATGTTTAACAAGATTTTTAGGTGATAATCCTTTATTTATTACGATCGTTAATGTTTCGCAATTATTCATTCCTTGGTTCACACTCTCTTTCTTTTTTATTGTTTTTCCTTCCTTTATGTCCCTTCTTATAAAACAAGATACAAAGTAAAACACGTTGACGAGGTGCGTATAAAATAGGTCCTTGTACGTTTCACCTCACCTCTCCTAGTCGTATTTAAGAACTGAAACGAAAGCAAGCGCTTTAACGGAGAGAAAAAGAAAGGAGAGCCCTCGATGTAAAGTGTACTGCAACGTGGCGAGGTATGCCGCGATACATAGCGTTATATGTGGGTTGGAGTGGTAAAGAACGATGGGATAACGGCGTGGTAACGGCTTGGCAATGGCGTGGCCATGGTATGGTCGTATCGCGATACCTCATACCGCGAAAAAGTTTCGCAAATTTTTTCCTTATTCGTATGCGTTCCTAGGTTTCGCGGCTGCTTTCTCACTATTTTCCTCTACTTCCCTTTTCTACTTCAAATTACATTTACAACGGATTCCTTCACGTATGTCTGCCCTAAAAGAAAAAGTAATCTGTCACTTTTTTTTTTACTTCAATCCTTTCCTTTATATTTCATTTTCTTTCAATTTTCTCCCCAGTTTCTATTTCTTTATTTATTTATTTTATGATTTTTAAATTAAAAAGATTATTAAATTTTATTATCTTTGGATAGTTTCCGATATGTTTTGCAACATCGATGTCAATAACATTAATTTAATTTATATATATCGTATTTCATACGTAGACTTTAAATAAATCTTAAATAATGAGAAAATGATACCTCAAGATATATAAAATTAAGCGAATGATTAACTTTATAATAAAGTAATACATATTACTCAGTTAAAGTAATCGAATATCTAATATCCAAAGATTATAAGAAAAAATAAATACTATATATTTTTACATTTATAATATTTATTTTACGGTCGGCATAATTGTTCTGATCGGGAGAGATTAATTTCGAAACACGAAATAGTAGAACCATTTGATTAGCTCTGTCACTGGACGAACGCGTGCAACCAACATCAGTTAGTGCGTTCACATATACAAAGGCATAGAAGTAGGTAGAGGAAATGGTATACTATACATATACGGTGACACGCGGTGGCGGGCGACCGATAGGGGCGGCACGCTGGCACGCAGGCAGCTTGACACGCACGCTCTCACGTACGAGCGCATTCGCACGTACGTTTGCGTGGGTAGAGAGAGGTTGCGCCGCGCGTGCCGACGACTATCTCCTCCGACCCCACTGCCGACGCCTTACCATCGCACACATTTCCTCGTACTCTCTACACCCACGTCTCTTCTTTGCCTCCTGGTTCACTCATTTCCCCTCAAGCGCCTCCGCTTCATCGCCCTCCAACACACTCGCTGCACGCTTCACGGTCTCCACGGTCCATCCGTTCGACCGCTCTCTCCCTCTCTTTCTCCCTCTCTATAAGCCATGAAGCGGCCGCCGCCCGTCGTCTCCGCGCTATACTTGCCGCACGCCGCATGCCGCACGCCTCACACCGCGCCTCATAGCCGCACGCCGCACGGCCGCACGCCCGCCCAACATCTCCCCTCTTCCCCTACTGCATGCCGTCCATCGGCCGCCGTGCGCCGCCTGCCGCCAGTCGCTCGTCACCCTCTGCCCGCCACCCGCCTCGAGGGCTCATCACCTCGACGAGCCGAACAGCACGGATCGAGCTTGTCCTGTGACGGCACTTGCTCCACTCCCTCGACCATCGCGCGCTACGTTGAACCGACTCGGCTCGATTCGGGCCACGCCGCGGTGGGTTGCATCGCGCCACGCCGCGTCGGATCGCATCGTGCCACGCCGCTTGAGAGACCACGCCGCGCCGTGCTGGCTCGTGCCATGCCAGCACCGACAACGAGCCATCACCTCCCCCACCTCTCTCTCTCTCTTTACTCATCCCACTGCCACCTTTCTTCGGCAACTCGTCGTAATTTCCTACGCCACGGTGTTATCCTCGTCTATATCCAGTCACACGCACACGACCTGCTGCCGCTGCCGTTACCATCGCCGCCTTTTCGTTTGCACGGTGACAACCAAGCTAGAAAGAACGAGTGAAAGACTGAACAGAAATATATAAAAAGAAAAAAAAAAGAAAAGGGAAAGTGAGGAGAGAAATAGTCAGAATAGTAGGCACAGATAGACGGATGAATAAAAAGAGATTAAAAATCATCGTGGGCAGTAACAAAAATGTCTCGATTCCAAATTTTCTTTTTCTTGATGCCCAAGAATCATTATAATAAAAATATACAAATTGATATTATATTGTTGATATAATTGAAAATTTTTTCATGTTTGAAATAGACAAATAAAATAAATTATCAAATCTAAATATTAAAACATGATTTTTTTTTTGGTAATCATCCAAAAAAAAAACTTTGAATTATAAACAAAGATCAGTGACGTAATTTATTTTCCGAATTGTTAAATCAAAAAAATTATTTTATTATAAAGATATACAACATAGAATAAATTATCAAAAAAAGTAAATAATCTTTCTCTTTGAGATCAAGAAAAAAATGAACAATTCTTAAACACAATCGTCAATATATCAAAATGTAAATTATAATTATATGCATAATCATATCGATTACTAAGAAAAATTTTGCGTTAAATACGCAGAATTGAAAAATCTCGCATTGTATAAATCTTCAATAAACGATTATTTCTATTATTCCATAATATTTCCAACTTTGTTACTCCGGTATTTTATTCTTATTCCTCTATTGTATTTCATGGATCATAAAGAATTATCCATTTCCCATACTTTATTAAAATCTACTGTCCAATCTTTGAACCATTTGAAATTTTAAGAAGAAAAAAACTTGAAGACAATTCAAATTGGTTCCTGTTTTAATGACACATCACGGTTGTTAGACGGTAAGCGGCATTGCGAAAAAGAGAAAAAGGAGATCAAGGTAGGTCGCGTGCAACTAGCAACTCGCTAGAAATGGCAAAAAGAGAGAAAGAGCGTAGCGAAAGAGAGAGGGGTATACGTAGCCGCAGGCAAGGGCGCGCGTGAGCGGGCAAGCGAACCTCATCCTCTCTCTCGGCCCCTTGACGGCAGCGGTTCTGGCAAGCAGCCACCATCCAACTCCCCCCACACGCACGACCAACCGCGGCGCGATCCTCTGTGCGGCTCCCGGCTTCTCGCCCACGACTCACACACGCGCGAATCTTGGTGAAGAGCCGCCAGCTACCGCTCGTCGATTCGCAGTCCGTCATCGTTGCTCGACCAGTGAGGATGAAAGTGGATCTCATAAGATACAGGAAGATAAAGGAGGAACAGAAACTGGAAGAAAGAACGAAATGAGATTTCCGTTATTCCTTTTGATTTCTCGATAATTAAAGATCGTTTACTTAATTTTTTCAACTTGCTAATTTTTTTTGTCAGTTTCTATTGAGAGATTATAAATATGATAGAAAGAAACTTCAATTTTTTTGTGACTGCAACGTGGCTTGACAAGACACGAATATCGTGCAATTTTCTGAATTTCTTTCTTACGGATAATTACTTTGAAAATGAAACATATATCGAATGGAATCCTCGAAAAAAATCATAATTCGAATTATAAACGGTTATGTTCGATGAAACATGATTGAAAATTTGTCGTTGTAAGTGTGTATGAGAAACCACGTGGTGTTGAATTTTATATCGAAATGTGCTTTTATCAAAATGAAAATAAAATTGTATAATAAAAAGTTTAGTGATCGAATTGTGCTTATAGATCGCACGAGGAACGCGTGATATCGTAGAGGAATTATATCGACAGGCTTACGTGAAATGGAATAAGATGCAAAGAGGGAGTTGCAGCTGATACAACGTGTGTATATATGCGTGTTTATATTGTGACTATAGAACATTTTTGAATAATATGTTAAGAAAAATGAAAAGATATATTGAAAGACGATAATCAAGCGATTGTATCAGTGTTGAAACTTTTCGATTTATATTAGAGTGTCAGCGTAGTGCGCGTAATTTTTTAGAACGCGAAATGCTGAGTGTCTCAGCTGCGTCCAGTCGATTACTTTGGACGCTAAAATCAATTTTGTCATCGACACTGTCATCGTCACTGACACCGACACCGACACCGATAACAACTCCCACACCGTTATTGTCGCCGTCGTCGTCGTCGACGTCGTCGTCGACGTCCTCGCCGCCGCCGCCGTCGTCGTCGTCGCCGTCGTCGTCGTCGTCGTCGTCGTCGTCGTCGTCGTCGTCGTCGTCGACGTCGTCGTCGACGTCGTCGTCGCGGCGGCTGTTGTTAGTGTCATCTTTGTCATTGTTATCGAAATCACCATCGTCGTCGTGGTCTTCGTTATTACCATCATCATTGCCATCGTTGTTGCTGTTATTGTCATTGTTGTTAGTGTCACTATTATCAATTTTGTCGTTATCATCCTTCTCATTATTGTCGTCACAGCGGAGGGCCTGCGTGGCCTACTAAAATGACCGCTCGTCTTCATTCGTTGAGGCATCAAGAAAAGAAATCGGCCGGCAACACTCATAGACATTACCATCATCATCATCAACAATCCCAACACCAACAAAGCGTACATCAAGGACCAAGTCCGGCAGCCAGTCCCAGTCCTAGTCTCAGCCCGAGCCCTAAACACTCGGACGGACGTCGAGTGAGTAAATATTTATTTTTATATTATTTGTTCATTTTATTTTTTCCTTTTAATTTTTTTTAAATTTTTTCTTTTATTCTTATATTGTATTGTAAATTATTTTTATATTGTATTATAAATTTTTTCGTTTATCTTATATTGTACTTTTTTTGTAATTTTGTTGTACTTTATATGTATTAATAAAATTTCTTGAAAATTGTTAATTTTATAATATTCGATTTGATTTCATTAACATTATAACATCTTGACATGATAAAATTTAATGATTTGTTTCAATTAAATTAGGATACGTAAAAAAGCGCGGGAATATTGATGATTATAAATATATTTATTGTATGCTATTGCTTATGTTACTTGCTTATATAAAACTTATATTTTATTTTTCATGCTGATGATCAGTTCCATATTTGATTAATGAAACTGAGATAACAAATAAGTTTTGAATAAAAATCTTAATTTGCTTGATATTATTAATAATTTTGAGAATTTTTTGAGTATGTATATAAATAACTATATGTAACTAACAATATATGTATATATTAACTAATTGAAATAAATATTTAAATATTTATTATTTTTATTAAAGTTGAATTTTCAACACAATTTTATAATACTATATGTAAAAACAATATAAATATTAATTATATGGTGATAGATTTAAATCTTGTTAATTAGAATATAATATATAGAATGTACAAAATATGTGACAAAATAGTTAATTATTCTTTCAACTATTCAATACTCTCACTATTTTATTTTCTTTTTGATTTTCTTATAATTTCTTTGAATTTTGATATAAAAAAATTTTTCTTTCAGTTCTATAATGATTAAATCCTTTTATTTGTATTGTGATACGTAGTTTATACCTATGTATTATATGGAATAAGAAAAGAGTAGACGCGAAGCAAGAAGAAGAAGGGAGGAATAGATGATATTGGTAGGCGAACATTTTAGAAATGACGGTCATCCATATTCTAATGTTTTACTATACTATTTAGCAATAGCATCATTATTTTTCAGGCTAACAAACCACTAATGGAAAAGCGACGGCGAGCTAGAATCAATCAGTCGTTGGCGGCGCTGAAAGCGCTCATCCTTGACAGCGCCCGGCTGGAGAACACGAAGCATAGCAAACTTGAAAAAGCTGACATTTTAGAATTAACAGTACGGCATTTACAAAGGCAAAGATCTCTTGCTCAGCCTGGTTTATCAAGATATAAGGCTGGCTATCAAGATTGTTCCAGAGAGGTACATTTCATTCAATATTTATTTGTCTCTTACGAGAAGATATAAGTAATGATTTATATAATTATAAAAAATATTATCTATACAACATAGTTTATTTATTAACTATCAATTGTGAACTCATGACTGGATCGATTTAGCGATTGGCGATAGTGCTACTGATATAAATCAATTTTGACCCCATATTTATTTAGCATCCTATTAAAAGATACGAGTTCACGGTTCAAGGAATAATGAGGAACAATTCAGATTTGTCGATATTCCATTCACTTTGCACTTTCGCTTTGATTTTGCGTTTCAGGTAAGTCGATATCTCGATGCCCCGGACATAATTACGGGGAACACGACACCGATGGACCCTGCAGTGAAGCAAAGGCTACTACGACATTTGGATAGTTGCGTGTCAGAATTAGACTTGGATTTGGGTTCGAGGCCGGATAGCGGATTAGGCAGCAGTCCCGGAAGCGTGACGGATCGAGTGACAGGCTCGGGAAGTCCCGGTCCGCTGGAGCATCATGTGCCATCGACTGCACACTGTAGTACATCTTTGAATCCGGTCGGTTTGATAAAAGCCGAGATTCCGGATATTGAACCAGCTAGACCGGATAGTAGCACTACCGCCGGCGACGAAAACAACAATAATAGCAACAGCAGTAGCAACGGCAACAGCCGGCCAACTTCTGCCTTTGGTCAGGTTAACACCACCAATCTTGATTCACATCATCATCATCATCCACCTCCACCTCCTCCACCCGGTATATCGGTTATCGATCAGGCTTCCAACTCGCAACAAAATCCAAATATGTTGTCAGTCGTGCAAGTGATACCTTCCAGACTACCCGACGGTCAGGTAGTTTTCTTGCTTCCTAGTCATTACGTACAACTCGCGGCTGCCGCTGCGGCGAACGGTATCAGTATCGGGCCGAATCCACCCACGGCCATATGGGCCGCAACTAACATGTCTCTTCTCAAGGCTACGGATAAACTCGCCGCGAAACGACCGCACGAAGATATACAAGAATGGCAGGACGCGGCCACTGTTGCCGTTAATGCTGCTGCTGCTGCTGTTGCCGCAACCGTTGCCGCTGCCGCTACGTCCGGCAACGCTTCTGTTTCCGCTTCCATTTCCGCTTCCGCCCCCGTTTCTACCTTCGCTACCAATGCGATCTCAGCCATTGGTACAAAACCAAGTAAAAGTCCAAGGCTCGAGCAACCGGAACAACCGCTCGACTTCACAACTACCTCCAAGAAACCAAAATCTAGCACGAAATCATCGGTAACCGCTGTGAGCAACATCGATCATCATTTTCAACAGCAGCAACAGCAGCAGCAACAACAACAGCAACAACAACACCATCATCAACAACAGCAATTCGTAGGCCGTTTAACCACGGAAGGATCAGTTGCACCGCATTCGGAAGGCAGACCGTCCAGTCATACGAGCAGCGAATTGGTCACAGGAATTCGTTCACCATCTCCAATCCCACAACAACCTTCGAAGGATGAGGAAGGAATGTGGAGGCCTTGGTAGATTGTGATTTAATAACATTCGCGGTTATGGATTATACGAAAATGTGCGCATTGTGTTAAATGTGTTACGTGTATTGTTACATATAATAACTGTATTGATGGACGATGGAACGATGAAATATATACGAATTACCTGTAAAAATAATTCTTCGAATATAACAAAGTATGTACTATTGCATGTTGTGTACGGTGATACTCGAACGCATTGTATATTGTGGATCATAAAAATGTGTGAAATGTGCGTTTGAGAACACTTTTAATCTCGTCATTGTTAAAGAACGCAATAACGCGCGTGGAAAAAATCTGTCAAAAATAGAACGGACACTTAAAACGAATGACTAGTTTGAAAAATAGCATGTACGCTATTGATCAACCATTTCGAACGAATATGAGAAATTAATTTAATTACCGACATAATTACTTACAGTGTCAGTGTTCTAAAAATCATGTACACTTGCTACTTAGATATACAAAATATTACGTAGCATTTTATTGCAATTCGATCGTTGTTCATTCGTTTAATGTGAGGAGTGCCTAATGAAGAAAAGAAATGCTATCAGGGGGAGGGGGGAAGGAAAAGACACTGTGCTGGATCTATCTATGTATTACGGATTCGAGATAAGTTACCTGTTCGAAACGTTAAAAAATAACGGTATATATATATATATATACATGTATATGATAAAAATTTATAGGATCCGAAGAAACGAGAGGGTTTCATGCATAGTACTTTATTCCGCCGTCGTGTACATAACCCCGATTGGAATTATAATTAATGCCGGATATAGATTTATTTTGATGTTAACTAGGTGTATATGCATACAAGAAAATGTAGAATGATGCGAATGCGGATGAATCTGTATCGAATGTGTGTTGGAAAAATGCAAAAGTTCACGTTCTAGATAAAATCATAGTTTTCATTCACAATTTACTTCTCTAATTACTATGTTGAGATTCAAAATTCCTTATTCAATGTACTTAGACATCGATCAATATAAATAAGCATACTGACAAATTATCTATCTTTTCCTGACATTATTTTTTTTTTGCTTGTATTTATTTTACTTCTTACTATTCCATTTTTATTTTATGTTTATAAAATATGTTACACTTGTTATAAAGAAAGCAATTTAATTAAATTTAATTGAATCGATAAAAATATGTGCTTTCAAAGCACATATTTACGTGCTTACTATAATTATCAATAAAATTAGTGTAAAATATTAAATGTTCATATTAATAATAATAAATTACAATTGCTTATAGCTATAGCTATATATTATTTTTATTATGCATAAGATTAATACAAATGAATTTAACATTATAACAAGAATATATTAATTAATTGCAAAAAAATTAATATGATAGTGATAAGAATAATTCAAAATAAAAAAAAAAAAGGAAACAGGACAAGATTTGGTCTGACATTATTTAAAATAATAAAAATAAAGTAAGTGACTTTTTCAAACCTTGTATTTGTTTTACAGCACTTTAACCACCTGTTACGTCACAATTCGCGCCACTGAATTTCCGCGCCTTTTTTTCGCGAAACACACAGCCAATCCGCGCGTTTTTTAATTATTAATCTTTCTCTTAATTTCACCGTGATATTTTATTTATAATTTTATTTTATATATTTAATCTAAGATTGAATAATTCCAAATTTTTTTTTGTGCAAGTGCAATTTTTTTTATACTTTATATTTTTAACGTAATATAACATGTATTTACATCTGTATGCAAGTACACATTATAATTACATCAGCGATAATAAACATTTTTCATAAAATACACACAATAGCAGCAGTCATTAATCAAATATTTTTTTGACACGTGCGATATATATTTTTTACAAATATTGTATATAATCTGGCTGCATTTTGCTTAATTCAAATTAACTGAATAAAACTTAACCTGATCTCATAGCTAACCTTAATTTAATCACAATAACTAATCAAATTTAATTTTATTTACAATTACTAGATCTAATAATTAAACTTAAGTAAAACTTAAATGGATCAAATCTAATATAAGATATCAATGTTAAATATTATTTTTCATACCATATATGATAAAGATCTTGTGTTTTCAACTTGACTTTTTGATTGTCGCGAAACACCATAGATTACTTATATATAAAATCATATTGCATTATTAAATATTAATAACTTCATAATTAAATGTGATGATTTTATTTAAATAAAATGGAAAAGAACTTTATATTGATATTTTAATTGATATATAATTATATTAATTGACAAGTTGATATTTAACGGCACTTTGTTCACGCATACCAACTTCGTAAAATTTAAATATTTTTCATGCTAAACTATCTATTATTTAGAATATCTTGCTCTTTTTTGATAATATTAAAAAATATAAAATAAAAAAAATGAATGGTTTCGAGAAGATAATATTAAATTTTTTGCATGATAATAAGAAATAGATTCTATTAATATTTATAATTAATAGATTAGACAAAAAAAATAAAAGTTAAATATCTATTTCTTGAATTGTTTCTTGAACGCATTTATAATAAGTAGAGACAAAGAAAGTAGATAATAAGAAAAAGACAGAGATATGTAAAAAATTAGGGAATCAGCGCCATCTTCAGAGTGCCGTAGATTAAACATATCAAAAGATAAAGAAAATTGTAAGAGAAGGATAGAAATAGAATAAGAATTAACTACTAGTGCCATCTGTTGAGTGCTAAATACATTTTTAAAAGAAGAGTAAAATAGAATAAGAATTAAATGTTAGCGCCATCTTTTGAGAATTTAGAAAAATGATTTTTTTTAGTTCTCAAGAGATGGCGTTAGCGATTAATTCTTTCCATATCTCTATCCTTTTCTAAATATATTTCTATCCTTTCTTTGCATGTTTCATTTGCGGCACTCTCGAGATGGCGCTGAATGCCTAATTTTTTCCATATCTCTATCCTTTTCTCATTATTTGCTTTCTTTGTCTTTTGTTACACAATTATAAATAAAATACGAAATGTCAATTGAACATTCTTTTATTCTTTTTTAATATTATAATGCGATTTAATTTTCAATGTAAAATATATTTTAATAAATATAAGTCTTTCATAATGCAGTAGCAATATTAAATACACGAAAACCTGATTTGAAAAAAATAGAAAAAAATTTTAAAATCGTAAAATAAGAAATTTTTTATCAGTAATATTTCATTTATTATTTTATATACTTCTACTAATATAAATATTATATTTAATAATTAATTAATTAATTAATTATTTAAATTACATATTCGTCCTATAACATATAATAAAAATGATTTATTTCTTATTAAATAATAAAAAAAATATAAATTATTTTTTCATATATTGCGATGAAAATTTTAACTAGATAGTACAGATTTTAAAAGATAAAATCTTATAAAGATAAAAATAGGATTTATATAAACTACTAACAGAATAATCGAGTAATTCAATTTTAAATATGAGAAACAGAATTTCTAATAAATTAGTTTAAACAATATTCTTATTAGTTCAATTACAATATAGTTATGACAATTTTTATTTTACATCATATTTCATAGCAATATTCGTTTCTCTTATTCGAAATTACCATTTGTGTTACTCTGAAAATAATAATTAACATAATTAATCACAACTAATATTTAAATTTTTACAATGCAGTGTATTTTTAACAAAACAGTATTTCATCATACCAAAAATTTGAATAACTCTACATTTTGTGGTTTACTGTTATGATGATTATTCTCATTATTCGATATCAGTAGTATTTCTGGAATTTCTTTCTTTTCGTCGTTGATATTATCGTATTCTACCATATTCTGCACATTTTCGATATGTTTCCTTTTATTCTGGTCCATGTTTTCATTGTTGTTTTGATCTCTGTAACACAATCTTAAGATATAATTTGAAATTGAAAGTTATCTTTTAATAGATATAAGAAAATCATTCAAATATTCATCATTCAGAATATTTCATGATTAAAATTTTATTTTAAATTAATTGAAATCAAATATGAGTTTAATTATAAATAACATATCATAAATAAAAATCATATGTCATGATAAAATAATAAATAAAATGTTTTAAATTTTTCTTATTTGTTATAATATTTTTTTACCGAATAGGTTCATTGTTAATAAGATGGGTATCAAATTCATCGTCATTCCAATGTTCTGGAAAACTAGCTTTTATTTTGAAAAGCCTGTCCCATCTTCCTTTATATTTGTTAGATACTAATGGTCGACCAATCAAACGGGAAAGTATGAATTGATCTTTTGTAAGATATGGTACACCTTGTTCATTTATTGTCTTGGATGGCATTAAATATCCATTGTTATGTCCTCCATTGCGTTTACCATGACCTGTAATTATGATATTATGTTAAAATAATTATATATAATTTTATAATATATTTAATAAAGCTAGGAATATACTACTTGAGAAATAGAAACACACACAAAAAAAAAAACAGAATTTCATAAAAATTGTATTAATATCCTTCATAAAAATCCTTCATAAAAATTGTATTATATATATGATTTTCTTGCATTTTCTTTATTTTTTTATTAGTCTACGTTTTTTCATAATTCACTTTAAATCTTGTATATCTATAATTTACAAGTAATATAAAACAAATTCATTATAAAATTTTTGGATAAAAAAAACATGCTAATAATTTATTATTAAAATCTTTTTTTATCTTAGGAAAGGCCAGAAAAAGGGAAAAAAATTTTTCACGCTATAGTGAAAATCCTTTTACAATTAATCAAAGGTGAAAACGTACCTCCCCAACATGAATGTCCATAGCTTAAACAAGAACCTGGAACAAATATTTTATAATTATTTATTTCATCATTGAATTTATTGAATTATCTCATGTTTACAAAATGTTTACAAAAGGTAATTTTTAGAAATCTCAATTTTTCAATTAAAATATACAAATTAAAAATTTATAATTTTTATAAATATACTTTTAAGCCAAAATTATTTCCAATCATTTTAAATCATTTTTGTGTTATAAAAATAATTTAAAAAAAAATAATGTAAAATTTGTAAACTTTTTTTTAAACACCTTTTTAATATTATCTCCTCGCATTTGAAATAAAAATTGAAATAAAAATACAAATTATAATCTTCAATACAATTATTATCTTCCGATATCAAAGCTTTTTCACCGATGACTATATAATATATATATATATTCACCATATTCACCATTTTTTATTTGTCTGCATATTTTCAGCATATGGAACGTATGTAAATGCAATATAGAGATAAAAGAAAATACTTTGACAAACGAATGATATAAAATCATGCGTGAACTTTCTGATATACTTAATGCTACCTTTCATCTAGTTTCACCGATGTTATTTTTAAGATAAAAAAGATTTTAGGTACTTGCGGGAATTCCTTACTCAAATTTTCATATTTTTCAAAGATGTTTCGTATTTCGAAATCAATTGAATATCAATTTGAAACAAAATATATTTTTAAGGATATCCTAATGGATCCTCCCTAGATCTCAATGGAGCTTCCATTTTGAAATTTTAAAACTCTTCTAATAAGAATGTAAAAGTGACTCTTATACATTCGAAGTTGAGTTAAGTTAATCAGAGTAAAAAGTATGTGAAAGGAGATATGATTGTTTTTGATAAAATATTGATAAAAGAAAATTTGACAAAATGCAATTGAACTTTTGATAAAACGATATATTTAAAATTTTGAATAAAAATTTTTATTCTTCATACATACGTATTTTTTTTTGTGTGTTTTAGTATACTTTAAAAATAATTCTTGATAGTCGGTGGATAGTGTGTTAAGATTGCTATAGTAACGATAGTAACTTTCACTGTCAATGGACACAGAGTCCATTGATGAAAAAATAATTGTAGAAGTTAACTCTGGGAAGTTTTAACCTTGTATTCTTCACTTGGGGAGAGGGAAAGATTATTTTAGAATTTAACAAAATATTCTTTTGTTTCATTTTCTTTTTCAATTTTAATTTAATTTAATTTTCAAAAAAAAAATATTATTTTGGTTGCATATTTCTACTTTTCACAGAAAGAATAATAATAAGAACACTATGAAATAAAAATCGATATCGATGTTTTATTAATGAAATTTATAGATATATTAATTATAAATTATAAATTATAATTGATATATCTAATTGATATATAATATAATTATATTAATTGATATGATATATAATATAATTATATATCAATTATAAATTAAACATATATTATATATATCGAATGAAAAAATGATTTTCATCTTTCTGAATGATAATCTAAGGTGGGCGAATCTATCTCATTATGATATATATGAAACAATACGAGTATGGTTATCTACGCGATAAATTGGCTTAATTAAAAATTCAACAAGACGTCTAAGAGGCTGATACGTGAAAATGAAAAGCTACACGGATTTCATTCGAAATTCTATTGAAAGTGAAATATATATATATAAAAAAAAAAAAAACCTATATTTTAGAATGTTAATCAAATTTCTTCGTAGGTGTAATATTATAAAGATTAATCTTTCGTGTTCTATATACTTGCAATTTGGATGGAACTTGAATGAATATTTGTTACAAAGAATTATCAATGTAGAAATTATAATTATACATGATGATTCAAACAAAGTTGCAAATTATTACGAATAAATTATAAAAAGATCATGAATTTTTTTTTAAAACAAACAAGATAATAATGATAATAGATAAATAATTTTGGACGAAGATATTTATTTAAATTAGATTTGGAATAAGCTAAAGAAGTTTTAAGAAAATTATCATTTTTCAATTTATTATGTTGTGAGTATCATTTGGAAGTAAAAGAATATTTTTAAAAATAAAAATAAAATATTGAAAGATTTAAGAAAAAAACATTTTAAAAATTAATTTTACAGAATATCTTTCTTTTCTTTTACTCGAAAATTTGGAAAATTAAAGACAAGTAAGTTTCTTTCTTATCCATCAAGAAATAATTATACATTTTAAATTTTTTGTTTCTAATTGACACACATATTATGTGATTCATTCTATATATTCTAATATCTTCATACTAAGATATACTAAAGAAAATAAAAAGAATGTATCATGTTGTGTTGCACACGTTTCTCTCAAGTGAGAAAAGTAACAAAAAAAGGGAAGAATGTCATGAACAGCAAAATCAATTGTTACTTTTGTCAGCTGAGTCGATGGATAGATATGGAAATGGATATTCTTCCTTTTTTTTTTTCTTAAACGTTTTTATTTCTTTCTGAAACTTATTTTTTATCTATTCTTCATTATGCTGAATATAGGACAATAAAAATTCTTATAATTAGATCATAAAAAAATCAAAATTTGTAAAAATTTAGATCAATAACTTTTTACAAATTTTTATTAACAAAAAGAAATAATATATATGATAATATATATAACAATTATATATATTTCTTTCTAAATTTTATGAAATATTATTTAATTTCTTTCATGAAGAGAATGACAGTACTTCCATGATTTTAATATACATGTAGATACACAAATCTCATATGCATATGTTCATTTAAATTTATACCGCAATTTGTTGATATGCAACAAGACTTTTAAATAATAAAATTACATCGTATCATAAAATAATAATTTGTCATTAAGACAGATTTAAAAAAAAAACATCGTTATTAAAATAAATCTCAAAATGTCTTGAAATGATTTATATTAATTTAAAAAGAACTAAATTTACAATATATAAAATTGAAATAAATATATAAAATTAAAATATACATTATATATATAAAATTAAAAAAATATAACAACTGCAACTATAATAAAAAAGAAAAAAAAATTTATTCCAATAATGGATCTTTTAAAATTTTTCACGAAAAGAGCATTCAATTTCTAAATCCAATTCACAAAAGATAATAATTTCCATGTATAAAATTCTCATTATTCTCAACAATTTAACTCATTTCTTTTCCCACAAAGTATCAGATTGTCCATCCATTCGAATATCGATCAACGAACACACGAAGGAGGAGAGAGCCGACTGGCGAGGATTAGCTGCAACAGGTTACCACCACAAAACTGTTGGAACGTGTGAAGTTGCTAATCTTATAACTTGTAAATGCGCAGAGATTCTCAATGTGTAATTAAAATTTAACGCGGCCCATGGATGGAAGCAGGGATCGCTAGACCACAGATGATCCCATTATCGAAGTTACACCAACTTTGTTATTATTGTTCACGTTACACCTTCTTAAGCAACCCTTTCTGTTAACCCTGGGTTTCGTTTCATATAATAACGATCTCTATTTATCTCGACTGGAACTTTCATTCATGATTTAATAATATTGAGGAACTTACTTTAGAAATATTTGCCCACACAATATTATCGTTACTTATAATTTTTAATCTTTGAAAAAACAAGATATTTAGGAAAACGAAACGAACAATTATTTATGTTAAATTATTTATGTTATTTAATGTAATAAATTATATGAAGACATATTATGAAAAATGATGTGATAATTATGCGGATATATTGTAAACATATTTTTAGAATTGGTTCATGGAAAATTTTTAAAATAGGTCCACCTTTTCACCCTTACGTCAATAAGTGAGTATCCGGGTACCTTTTTATTTTAAAATAAAGTCTAAATTATTTTTATCATCCAATTAAAAAATTTTTTCATTTACTCGAATGAGAAATTCATATTTCAAGTTCAGAATTATATTAAGATATAGAAGATAAGAAACAGAATGATATTGAGAATTTTGAATTCAAGTATGAAATTATATTACACTAGAAAGTTACTAAAAAATTACCAGAAACAAAAATTGGAGTATTGATATGAGGATGTCGATCAAAGATGATGACGATAATATTTGAAAATGGATTTTATTTAATTTTTGAAATGATTTTTTTAACTGTTAAGTAAAAATAAAAAATTCTTAGAATTTCAATTAGAAAGATTAAAAAATGAAACTTAACCTAATCTAATTTATTGTCATTATAAATATGGATATGTATTAAATAGATATAATATACAAAATGGACATGATTTTGAAAGAACAAATGATAATCCATATAATAATTTCAATATAATGAATTAAATTATTGGAAGGTGAAAGTTAAATGAGTTTTGTCGAGTTGTTTTATAGTAACGAACTGTCCGAGTTATAAGTTTATACTTGTTGAAATATTTCAATATTCGATTATTAAAAATATAAATTTGTATTTCATATTATCGCTAACTATATAAAATTCCATATATTATTACACAAGATTAAAATTTTCATATTGCTTTATTCGATTTAATAATCATATTAAAATGATTAAGTTAAAAATATATTTTTCTATATTTTATTTCCTTTTATTTAAAATTTTATTTGTCTACATCTCTTTGAAAAACTAAAAAGGATTCAAGAGAAGAAATACAAGAAAATATAAGTAAATATAATTATTAAAAAATGAGAAATAGAAAAATCAATAGAAAACAGCCAAATAAATCAGATAAGTCTAAAAAGTAAAAATATCATTTTACTTGGGATACAATTTAAATTTCTTTATCTTGTTATAAAAATTGCTATAAAAAACTGGATCACTAGTTATTGTTTGACATACTTGCAATCAATTTACAATTTAAGTTTAGAATTTTATCATAAAAAGAATTGAAAGCTATTAATTAAAAAATTAAAAGAAATTAAAGAAATTGAACGATGTCGAAAATTTTGGATACCGATTCTCGAGTAGTAATATTTTATAATTTTATATGAATCGATTTCCTATTTTATAAAAATTTTAATCTAATATTATAATATATATTTCTAATTAATATATCTCGATTCAAAAATATAAATAATATAATCAATTCTTTAATTTATTTTATATAAATTACAGTTGTATAAATTATTAATATTATTTCTTAACGAACATCTCCATAATTTGCAATTTTAAAACTCAGGCAAAATATATATAATATGAAAAAACAACGAATAATTTCAAACTCAACGTCGAGATTCTGAATAATCCATAATTTCAAAAATTATTAAATTTAATAAGTAATATAAACAGTAATAATATTGAATTAAATAAAGAAATTTGTTTGGAAATATTATTAATCGAAGATATATCGGAAACATGATGGAAACAGAAGTGATAAAAATAAAAAGAAGGAAAATGGTTATTATTTTTTCAAGAAACGTGCAACTTTTTTCCCCTCTTCATTTAAATATAATATTCGCATGCGCTGATGAATTGACCAATCTTTTTAAATATTTCTCTCATGCTTCACTTTTTTCCCTTGTATTATTGCAATATCCCTTACATTGTTTATTATAACCGTGGCATTAATTCAGAGTAGATACAGATACGATTTGCAATTAAAATTGTACTATTTTCACAAAATTATATATATTTTACATCGGAACGATTGAATTTGAAATTGAATTAATTGTTCCATTCCTTTTTGTTCATAAATATCAGATTTTAATATAGATATATATGAATAAAATTTAACAATATGAAAAATTTACAAAAAGTTTACTTGGTTAATGAAGGATAACGTTTAATTACTATTACTAATATAAATTTTATTGATTTTTGCAGTAATATTTTTAAATTATATCCATTATTTATCTGGCAATTAATTAGAAAATCAATGAAACAAATATGTAAAATAAAATTTAATAATACTTTCAAAATTATCGAAAGTATAATGAAAATATTGTTTCTCTGATCTTTTACATATAAATTTTCTAAATTTTCGATGAATTAAATTCAATGGAAGTTTAAAAATATTTATGTATTTTTTTTTCATGGAAACGGAAATAACGAATTATTCTCGTTATCGATACATAATTCTTCAATAAAATTTAGCATAATAGAATTTATAATTTGTTCGTTTAATAAAACTAAAATTGTATTACGAATAAGTATAATTATCCCTATGAGATATAATTTCTGAAAATTGAGACCATGAATAACCAAGATATGTAAATTAATAGCTCGAGGGATTTCTTCATATATATTTAGATAATTATTTCTTGATGAATAAATTTATATTAAACTTTAATGATGAGACATTTGACTGTAGTCAAAGGTTCTTTATGCCCATTTAATGCGAGATTTCATTTTGGTCTACATATGTGCCCTCAAGCACAAATGTTGCTAGATTTGCAGAAAGTGAGGTTAGGAAGTTTAATCTTTAGGGTCCCTAGTGAGTAAACAAATTCCTTACGATTAAATATTTTCCAATAACTTTCCTCATTTTGCTAAATTTCTTTTCCTTTCAAATTGTTTAAATATTAATTTTGTAATTAATGGAACTTTAAATTATTTAATATCAAAACGTATTCAATAATCTCTAGTGTAATTTTAATTATTTTTGAGATGTAGAATTCGTGTTAAGTTTTAAAAAAATATATATATATTATTTAAATATTCGTTCGAATTCTTTTTGCTTTTGAACAAATATTATTTGTATAATTAAAAAAAAAAAACATATACATACATACCTGCTACACCACCCGCGAAACAAAAGATTATCATGAAAATCCAAGCGCGTATAAGAACCGTCACCGATTGTGAGTTGACCGAAGTGATCGCCATGTGATTATTGGTGTTCTACATAAAATAACAATAAAGAAAAAATTAAATCTTAAAAATTAAATAATTAAATCTTTTATCAATTTAACATTCAGTGAAAGATTGAAATATCTCGATAAATTGTAATATTGAATATTAATCAAATTTTGCACGAAAAGGAAAGGGAATTATTTCTACAATATATATATAAATAAAATAGTAATTTATAATAAAATTTTCAATTTTTTATTTTAGAATTGTATTATCTTTCCCAGAATATTAAATTAAATCATGCTCATCGATTATACGTTGCGTATAATAGCGTAGAGATATAATATTTTTTTTTTTAAAGGAATTCGTATAATTTCGACAATTTTTAAAAAAATTATTCGAAAAATAAACGTGATTAATGAATACGATACATATATATTTTTTTTTCGCGTGGAATTAAATATTTTCGTTTAGTGAAAAATAATAATGACACGAAAGAATTTAGAAAAAATAAAAATATTTAGCTCTCTCTTCCTCCTTTTTGCGATAATACATATTTGGCGTGCAAGTATTTTCTGATTAATTTTCATTGTTTTTCTCTAAATATGTATTTATATAAATTAAAAAATAATAGAAATTTTTAATCAATTTTCAAAAATTTTATACGTTCCATTGTTGAATTAAAAAATGATAAAAATCAAATAAAATATACAATATTTTTTGTTTTTTATGTTATTAATGTTTATTAACGATATTAATAAAGTAAAAGAGAAGATTCGAATTGAAAATAAAAAAAAAAAATCTAATAAAATTTCTAATATTCATAACGATTTTATTTAAACATAAAGAATAATAAAAATAACAGATTGATAAAATAAATTCAAGATTGGATAAGATTTAAAATATATTATCTCTTTATCTTCATTATTTATAACTAATATTATCAACTTTGTGTTATGCTTAGAAGAACATATTGAAATATGTTAAGTAGAATTATTCAGTTAGTGCAATAATAATTCAGAAACGGTATATTGAATAGCTTTATACGTTATTTCATTGTTCCCTTACATAAATTTAAGTTTCAATACAATAACAATATGAAATTGCTACAGCACTAAAGCTTCCTTCCATAAAGTTAATATGTGAAACTGATTCTAAGAATATTCACAGATATTCTTATAACTATATGCAAATCTTATTTTATTATCTATATTTTATTGATGCATATGAAATTTCCTTTTTTTTAAAGTTTGAATTTGAATAATATAGTTTTATAAATATTAAAATCTCCACTGATTATGAACAATCATATGCAATAATATTTGTGCAACTTTCTTATATGAATTTCATACTTGACAAAAGAGCAATTAATGCAAAGTTAAAATAATATTAACACCTTTAAATGATTCAGAATATTCTCTATATCTATTTCATACGTAATAAATTGTTCTAAGAGGAATTTTAATGAAAATGAAGAATTATATAAGAAAAAAATTTGAAGAATTGTTGAATTTCAAAATCAACAATTTTTATAAATTTCGAATAATAAAATTTTTTAATTAAATATGTGATACTTTGAATATTATAGTCACACATATATCCTATCTTAAACATGTTAATTATCAAATTATCAATATATGATTTTTATAAATCAACAAGAGGAGAAATAAAAAATTTGAAGATATACAAATTACAATAAAAATATCTATTTTCGAATTAAATAAATCTAAGATATTTAATTTTATTTTTAAAAAATAGTAGACAATATAGATATTTATATTTTACAAGTTTCAATCCAATCTTGTTTGTATATTTAATTGGAATGAAAGAGTATTATCTATTAGCTTCCATGTAATAAAATGTTAAATTTTGATAAATATTCATCCTAATTGGACATTAAACGCAGCAAGAAATATCAGAGAGAAATGTCGAAAAAAGTGAAAAAGTGTTAATAGATTTATCATAGCTGGGATGTTCCATCTTATTTATTTATTGCTTATATCGTTTATTCCATTCTTTATGAATTTTCTTTAAAAGGAAAAAAATTGGATGTGATATGGAAATCTACGTAAAAATAATTTAAAAAAAGAAAGATTGCCAAATGATCCTGAAACTATATAATAAATGATAAAAAATTGTTTGAGATGAAAAAATGTTGCATATAACTTATTACATGAATCGATAAAATGTTCATTCTGTAAAAATAAATTGATTGAAAATCTTTCTCGCATTTCTATACAAGTATATTCTTTTTTGCAATTTAAATTCTTTTAGTAGTTTAATTCCTCTTTCTTTTTTTTTTTTTTTTTGGAAAAAAGAACGAAGAAGCAAGAATGATTGAATTAGGTTTAAATTAAGAGCAATTTTGAAAATTGAAAAAACTAATTTAACATTTTAAATATTGGATATAGAAGATGTGTTGAATCAAAACAGTTTTTAAATTGAATTCACAAAAATATTTTTATATTATTATAAAACTTAATAATGTAATAATGTTTTTCACACAAATGCAATTTTATAAATAAAATATTTTCAAATATGAATTTAATATCGTTTTCTAACAAATTCTTTGTTTCTTCTTGTTTTATGGAAAATTAACATATTAAGAAATATTTGTAACTAAAAATTTTACATCAAAATTAATTTTGAAATATTCTGTTTTTCAAGTAAAATCTTTTTTATTCGACATTTTAAATTCTTTTAAACTGTTGATGATGTTTAACTTAAAAAATTACCTAGTTAATACTGATATAACTCTATTTCGAAGTAAAAAAAATGACTATTTTTTAAAAATTAAAAATTTTATAGATAATATTTACATAAAAATATTTAGAAATTTCAATAGAAAATTTGTATTACAATTTTGATATATATAATAAAAAAGAAAAAAAGGACTGTATTTAAAGAATTAATTAATTGTTAATATAATCTTAATAAAAAAAATTGTATACTTGTTAAATCTCTTTTTTTCTTCCTTCTTCATCTTTTTCTATGAAAATCGTAAAAAAGAGACCAAAAAGAGAATCTCATAAGAATCTCAGATCTCAAATTTATACAAATCTCAAAATTAAACAAAAGTGGAATAACAAAGTCTAAAATATCTTGTAGAATTTTAGTATTAAAAAAAATATTTTAAAAGGAATTCAAAATATTCTGTATAACTTAAATCTAAATAAATTTCATGCACACTTTCTCCATATCTTCGAAATTCTCTCTCCATCACTTTTTCATTAATTTCTCCCTGTATCACTTTCAAAAATAAGCTGCTTCCTTCAAAAACACGAACGAATAAAAAAAAAAAAGAAAAAAAAAAATTAAAGATAAAATCAGACTCGAAAAAATAAAATTTTCAACTATGGAACACTTTTTTCGAAAAATTCTCCGTTCAAAAATAAAATTAAAACCAGTATACCAATTCTGCAACTTTGTAAATTCATATTCCCAATTAGTTTGTTCACCTTCGAGATTGAAAAAACAGAAAAGACGTCCTTTTCAGGCAGGAATCGTAGTTCCAGGGAAACCGATCCGCTCGCACAAGTTCACCAAAATCGTAGAGTGACGGACACGGTTCGACCCGTTGTAGGATCCCGATCGAAGGGTTTTCCGACTTAACTCGAAGCGAGCGGGCACGATGAAGGCTTTTATAGACGTGTCTGCAACACGGCCGAGTATGGTGGTATATGGTGGTGGGGTTAACTCACCGCGCGCCTTCTGAGCGCGCACCTGCGTTGGCGGATTGGGATGTTCTTTCGTACCGAATCATCCACTGCGATCGTGTGTGTATATCCTTTGAAATTACGGATTCGCGTTTTCGAATTTACGTGGGATCGTGTGTTAAACCAATCCCGACACGTGAGAATCGAGATATATTTCGCGATTCCATGCAATGTTCCGTTCGATTTGGTGAATTTTAGAGTTAGATCGGGTCGATCGATCGATCGATCGATCAATATTTGGGATTGAAAAAATATAAATCGTATAGAAATTACGAATTTTCGTGTTTTTTCGAATTTATCGAATAGGATCGTGTTCATAAAAAATTCTTACATTAGTTATTTAAACAAAATATGTAAAATTTTTATGCAAAAATATAAGATAAAATAAAAATGTAAGATATAATTTTTCCTTCTTCTAAAAATCATACATGAAATTACTGCGATGTCGATTATGCAAAACATATTAATATCATCCATAGTGTTGATATTCGATAATATATATATCTATATTTCTTTTTATAGTAGACAATACTGTATTATTCATTAGATCAATTAAAAATTTTGTCACATATAAAAGAAAGAAAATTGATTCAATTACAATTGTTTATAAATTTAATTTAATTTCAAGAATTATTTTTAAACAATGAAAAATTTTGGATTAGATAGAAAGGTTTCCTGTATTATTTAATAAAAATAGTAAGATATTTTATTTGTATTATAATGTAAAAATAATTATGATTAATAATATATATAGATTATCAATTAAATTAATACTTTCCTTTCAGAACTGATTTTTAGTAACTTTTCACGTATGCAATCCACGTGGTAATTATATATAATTAATTATTTTTTTAAATAAATCTTTAAATTTCAATTAACATATATAAACGAGCTTGGAAAAATTTGATTAGTACTAAGGTAATAATGCTCCTATTAGATGGAAATTGCGATTTTATTGGATTGAAGTTTTACGAGTATAGTATAGTATCTTGTATAGCTCTATGAAAGTGGTTTTTACGTGCAGGAAGCGCCTACGAAAATGTGTAAAGTTTTAAAGTAAAGACATTATCGAATTAGATAGTCGTTTTGAAAGTTAATGTTTGTTAACATTTAGCAAATATTACAAATTACAGTTTAATAAATTATCATAACTAATATATTAATATATAATTGTAAAAATAAAAATTTGGCACATCGTTTTTTCAGAATTTTTATTTTAACTTGACTTTTAATTACTTATTTTATAAAAAAATAAGTAATTAAAATTAAAATATTTTCAAATATTATTATGAAATATATTCGAATATTTCTTTATTATGATTTTTTGATAGAATTATGATATTACGAATATTCAATTATAACCTAAAATGATATTGTTTCAGAAATTAATTGATGTCATATGTGTATTAATATGTGTAAATTAATGTTTTTCAAATATGTTATATTTTTTCCAAATAATCAAATATAAATAATAAAATAAATTTTTACTTTAAAAAAAGTAAAGCTTATGAAAAGTGTAAATAAACGAATATTTATTCTAACTCTACACATTGAATAAATATAAATTGTTTTCTGTATTTTTCAGTATAATATTATAAATACTATGAAACCCACATTGAACATACAAACATTGATATAAAAGTGGAATCAAATATTTTTTAAAAAAATCTTTTGATAAAAAATCAAGAATGTAAAATAAGACAAAATGATTTCAATACTACAAATATATTGTTTGATTCGGAGAGGAAGTTGAGATTTATAATTTTTAGAGGATTTTAGTAAAAAAATATATTTTTTAATATTCTGTTCATCTTAAAATTTCAATCTTCTATTTACAATACTGTTTATTATTTACAATATTGCCACAGGTTTCCTATATTCACCACTAGAAAAGTTCATATGGATCATATTTTTTACAAGTACACTTTTTGACATAATCTCCAAGATCTTGATGTCTAAAACACATGTCTGTTAAATAGCTTTATTTACTGACTAATTTCTCTAATAAGACCAGAATAAAACATTCTATCCTTTCCTTTTTTTTCTCTTTATCTCAACATTTAATTACATTCTATAATTTTTATAATATTCATTTCAATCTTTTAATTATTATAATAGTCTTATTATAATCAAATAAATTGAAATGAAAATAAGTGAAAATAAATGAAAATAAATGAGAATCGATTTAAAATAAAAAATAATTATATATAATTAATAATATTAACAATAAGTACTTTTAAAAGAGATTATTTTTTAGACTTTTTTTTAGAACTAACAAGAAAATTTTTCTACGCAAATCTCATGTTAAACTTTATTTAAACGTATTTCAGGAATTGAAATACGGTATATGAATTCAACTGTAACAATATGAACAGGATGAAATTTAATTACGCGGACAGAGTAGGCCTATCGTCGCTCTTAAACAGAGCGTAATAAAGGAAAATCTCTATGACGCGTGTCATCCTTGATGAAACTATGGGATGTATTAAACCCCCAATACTGAATTAAATCGTTGTACATATTAGTCGAGATTTGAAGTGAGAAATAGAAATTTATAGTATTTTAATACTATATAACATACATAACTATATATAATACAAAGAGTGGAAAGTAATTACTATGTAAAAAAAAAAAGATAAAATGTAACAAATAAATAAAAAATAAAACAATCAAAAAGTCCTCGAAAAATTTATATTGTATAAAAATTTATATTGTATAGAACATATATATAAATATATCAATTAAAAAATCATTTATAAAATTTAAAATAATTCATAAAAGTAAAGTTTTTACAAAATTATCTTTTTTTTTTTAAATTTAAATTTTAAAATTTCTAGAAATATAACAATGTCCACTTAACTTAATTGTAACTTTCATTGACACATCTGTTGCAGCTCTTCTATGAGAATATTATTCTCTTTTTCTCAGAATTAAAGACACGATATATTTTTTGATGATTAGAAAAAACAAAAATTTCGAATAATTCTAAAATTAAATTTTGAATTCTAAATCCTGGAAAATTAATGGGAAAAAAAGATAAAAGATGATCTAAAAATTCTTATTAATATAATGAAATAAATATAATTCTTCTAAAAGATTGAAATTTAAAAAAATTTATATATATAAATCTAAAAGAAAATAATTAAGTATTTAAAAATTAATTTAAAATTCGAGAAGAAAAGAAAATTTCTCTTCATTGTTTTCCTTTTCAAAATTTATTGAAATAAAATAACTTTTAATTTAACATAAATCATTATAAATCATTCAGAAATACGTGCAAAAATTTCACAATAAAATATAAATAATAACTAATCAAGCTCAACAAGTAACTAGATTAAAGAAAGTTATATTATTAAATTTATCTGCAAATGATATTTATCATCGTTAACAATAATGAATCGCAATTCATTGTTGTCAACCTTTAATTTAAACAACCTTAATCCAAGAAACTCTGTATTAATGCACCTTAAACCGCTTATGGCTACCACAATTATAATTTTTTATCGAGAATAGTCATTAAATATTTTTTTATTAATTTTTATAGACGATGAAAATCTTTGTCTTTGTTCTAATTAGAAAACAATTTTTTTACTTTACCAAGTATACTAAATCACTGTAAAATTAATAATCTTCAAAAATAATGTTGTCACGTCAAAAAAATGATGCTATACTTTTCCACAATATCACAATTTATTAATAAATTAATTTTAAAAATAAAATTATATATCATGACTACAATATTATATCATTAAAAAATAAATTATATTCTATGTTATTCGATACAATTATGGATTTTTTTATTATTTCATATATTCAAATTCATCTATAAAAGATGAGTATATTTAAATGCGAGTTTGTTTTTTAAGCAATTCAAAGAAAAATATCTTTCCTTGTTAAATTCATAAGAAAGCAATTTAAACATTTAAATTTAAAAAAAAAATGCTCGTAACATTTAATAAATAATTATTAGTGTATATTTCGTTCATATAGAATGAGTCGAAAAATGGTCGAAAATGGATTATTCATAAACAAATGATAATTTCCATTGGTCGAGAGACACTTGTATATTTAAAGAACCAACAAGTGGTAGAAGTTACGTTTCTCTCAGCCATGTGTTTCTAAGCTAGTGGTAACAACGATTCACAGTCCGACCACATAACATAATGTCGCGTAGTAGCACACCTGGAACCAAGTTATTTTAAGCCAATATCATTATACAAAGATCATAAATCTCTTGTATTAATATTTCATCTGAGTTTTCAGTCGAGATATTATCTGCGTATTTACTGTAATTTTATAGTTGAAAATAACGATATTTCGAATCGTTTATGTAAACTAGGAGAATTAGAATTAGAATTTAACGTATATAGTGCGAAACGCCGGCTGACTTTTGCATTAATTAAAGAAAAATCATAAGCAATATAGTTTGCTTCGACTATTTATAATTGAATTTTTCATAATTGATGGGATAAACATTAAACATTAACTATATATCTTACAAAATTTTATTATATTTGGAATTTAATTGTTTCATCAATGCTTGTTCTTTCTTTGTTTTGTTTTATTTTTGTTTTATCAATTTTTCAATTTGAGTATTACGAGCATGATTCATTTGATATTATTATCTTTTTAATTTTCTTATTTTATAAGTTTTGCAATTTTTTTTTTACTTTTGAGCATTAGAAATTTTGAATTGAAATGTCAAATATTTAAAATCAATGTATAAATCAAACGAATGTTTAAAATCAAAATCATCAAAATACTTGCGTGGAAATTTTGTATAAAACGAATATATAAATTCAATAATGAATGCAGAATATGTTAGATACTTGCAATTTAATAATTTTGCATTTAATGAGACGCTTTCATATTATGAAAGTG